ATGGGCCTGCAATGTCAACAGCGATTCTTTCGAATGGCAGTCCAACGTTATTTTGTTTCATTTTTCCCCTAGATCGAGTGCTTGGTCCTTGGCTGGCTGCACAAATTTTACATTGTCGACACCATTTCTTGACATCTTCGCAATAATCCACCCAGTAAAAGCGATCTCTCAGCTTGCTCAAGGTCTTGTTTACCCCAAGATGGGCTCCAGTTTTACCACCGTGAATTTCTTCCAATATCTAGGTAACTTTCTTCCTTGGTACCAGTAACTGAGTTGTTACTGTCCTGCCATCCGCACTTTCCCACATGCGCTTTAACAATCCATTCTCAATAACCAGTGAATTCCACTGAGCCTAGAGAGCTTTGAAAACGAGCCCTCTGTCCGCAATATCCTGCCACGGTGGTCTCTCGCCGTTATCTTCCTTGAGCCGTAGTATTGCCCCGATGTCTGGATCTTCCATTTGGTCTTTCCTCAATTGTGTCGTCGTCCACTGTTCATCGGTTTCAAGCTTAAAACTCCTTATCATAACAGCGCCTTCGCGTTGTTCCGTTTTACAGCAGTGCTTACAATCGATTTGACAGGGTCTTCTGGATAACCCGTCTGCGTTACCATGCATCTTTCCAGCACGATGTTGGATGGTAAAGTGATACTGCTGGACCTTCTCGAGCCATCGTGCTATTTGACCTTCAGGTTGTTTCATCTCCATAAGCCACTTGAGAGCCGCATGATCTGTCCTAATTAAAAATTCTTGGCCATACAGATATTTATGGAAATGATCAACTGCTTTTACAATTGCTAGCAGCTCCTTCCGGGTAACGCAGTAATTCCTTTCTGGTTTGGATAGAACTCGACTGTAATATTCTATCACTCGTTCTTCGCCATCTTGGACTTGTGAAAGTACTGCACCTATGCCGATGTTGCTGGCGTCTGTGTCCAGGATATACCTCCCTTGTTGTTGTGGGTAGGCTAAAATAGGACTTGAACATAAAGCCGCCTTAAGTCTTCCAAAGGCTACATCACAATCGGTGTTCCATTCGTAGCCGACTTCATCACCTGTAAGTCTATGTAAGGGTGCAGCTATATTGGCAAATCCCTTGACAAATCTTCTGTAATAGGTGCATAAACCCAGAAAACTTCTAAGTTCATGTTTGTCGCGAGGTTTAGGCCAATCCTTGATCGCAGCGATTTTCTTCTGGTCGGTGTAAATTCCGTCTGCCGAGACTACATGACCCAAGAATTCCACTTGTCGCTGGAATAAGCTACACTTCTTCGGGTTCAAGTACAGGTGAGCATTCCGTATGCGGCCAAAGACTTCTTCTAAATTTCGCAAATGCTCCTCAAAAGTTCTTCCCATAACCAATACATCGTCGAGGTAAACCAAGCACGTTTTCCAAGTTAATCCTCTTAACACCACCTCCATGAGACGTTCGAAAGTGGCTGGAGCATTGCATAATCCAAACGGCATGACCTTGAATTGGTATAGTCCGTTTCCTGTAGAAAAAGCCGTCTTTTCTTTGTCTTCCTCGTCCAGACCAACTTGCCAGTATCCACTCTTTAAGTCGAGAGTGGAGAACCAGCACGAACCTGCCAGTGTGGTTAACGTGTCATCTATACGTGGCAGTGGGTAGCTATCTTTCTTAGTGACGTCATTGAGCTTCCTATAGTTCACGCAGAATCGTGTACTACCATCTTTCTTCGTGACCAAAACAACAGGAGATGACCATAGACTCGATGATTCTTCGATAACTCCATCTTCTAGCATCTTATCTACCATTGTCTCCATTTCTTGTTGTTTGGAAAGGGGCACCCTTCTAGGACGTTGTCGAATCGGCTGAGCATGACCAGTATTAATCCGGTGCTTCACAAAATCCGTTCTTCCACTGCTGTTCTTCTCAAAAATACTGCCATGCTTTAGCAGGAACTGCTTAGCCTTCTGTTTCTCCTCAGGTGTTTGGTGATCCCATGGCTGTTCTAGATGTTTTAGTGTTTCTTGGGATGCCTTTTGTGTAACAGCTGACGACACTTCATCACATCGGGTGACACTTCTTACAGGTTCGCAGATGGCTATCTTGTCACCTTTTTGGATCTTGACACAATTCAGGAAAACATTCGCAATTCTGATCGGTATATTCTTGTCGGTATTCACCAATGATTTTCCTACTAAGTACCTATCTTGTTTCTTGTCGACACTTTGTACCAGTCCAACACAGCACCCAGCGATTTTCTCCACTTTACCGAATACGATCTTCTCGGTATTACCAGGTATCACCACAGTTTCCGCTGATCTGACATCCATTCTGCCTGGTCCCTCGTCTGGAGATAACATAAACTCTTCATTTCCGATATTCAGAATATTTCTCTGGTGGACTTTTCAAGTGGAGAAAGATACGTCTAAATATTTTTCGATACCGTTTGATAGAGAGTTATCCCGTGGTCTAAAAGGAATTTTTAAGAATGTCAATTATAAACTTGTGTATAGTGCTAATAATAAATTACAACAATTATTAGGTAATCCAAAAGATAAAACACCTCCACTGGAAAGGTCGGGTATTTACGAAATTTCTTGTAAAGATTGTAATCAGAAATATGTTGGGCAAACTATAAGTTCAATATTAACTAGATTTAAAGAACATTTAGCTCCGATAAGATATGGTAGACCGGATAAATCTTGCGTTGCCGAACATATTGTTGATAATGAACATTGTATAGATCTTAATAATTTAAAATTAATTAAACACGTCTCAAATTACAGGCAATTAGATGCATATGAAAGCATCAGAATTAATATATGTAAAGATAGTATGAACAGAGTCAACGGTCCAATTCCTTCAAGTTCTTTGTTCCTACTACTCTAGTGGCGGAAATCTAACTGTTACGCTCAGTTGGCTCTGACTCGGTTGGCTAGATTTTGCCACGCCCACTCGGGGCCCACTGAGCGAGTATATAAACGCTCCAATTGTAGATTGTATTTTAGTTTATAATCATCTGCTGATGATGCTAACATGGTTAGCGAAACGCGCGTCCAGTGTAAAAGTAAAAGTGTTTTGGTGTATTGTGGTGATTTAGTGTTTTTATTTTGCTGTGTAACACCAAAGGTTCCAACCCTCAACTGTAATGTCCCAACTTAACTTGTATTTGTATTTTGCTGGCACGTTGGCGTCCCTTTTCTTTTGTCCTCAAGAATGTTACATGGAAGAAAGGACAGTTTCTTTGTTTTTTATTGAGCCCTCGGAAGTAATTCGAGGTAGGTTTATTTTGTTTATTAGACCTTGTTTGGTTTTAAACAAGAGTTTCATATTTTTAGGGTCCAAGGTACGGACTATTTCCAAGGTTATAGTCCTAGGTTATGGTCCAAGGTACGGGTAGTGTACCCTTGTACCATTATCCTATGTACGGATGTCCTGTGGACGAGTGTCCCCAGTAGGAATGATTTTTCTTGCATATAAAGTGCCCCAGCGTGGATGTAGCTTGAGCCCCATGCTGCCTCGTTCCCATCCATAAGCTAGTTAGTAGTTACGGCTGTTCCAATTCATGGTGTCCTCATTCTGGCCCCTTTTGTTGTATTGGATGGCCGAGTACAGAGATGCGAGCCCACCTCACGCTGTTACTGTTTGAAGCAAGATTACATAAAGAACAGCTAAGTGTAGATTTAAGTTCTAGTTTTACATTTAACATCTAAAACTTTTTCAGTCTTAAACAATAACGTACATCTTAAGTAATATCGTACAGACTATGTTTAGTGGTTAGATTGTTAAGCACATTCATGTCAATTTAATATTTAAAATATTATTTATATCTTAGGTTTCATTACATTACGTCTTGTAATGGTATTGTTTTCATAGATATTTAGTACAATTCTTAACACCACTTTTGTTGACATATAACTACTATAATAATTATTAAAATTGTACAATGCTATTTACCATCACAGTCCATCTTGAATAAATATAGTCATTAGTTTTAAGTAATATACAACTGTGTTTTCTTTCTCTGTACATGCCTGGCGCCCAATATCTATTTCTTTGTTTATTGTTATTACTTAATTTTCTTCCCAGTGAAATACCTTATCCACGACTGCTCTCCGATGAAAAGCTCCCGTTCGCAGTGGTAATGTTTTATAAAAAACGCTACAAACGTATATCCGATAAACGGAGGCATGAAAATGCAATAAATTTAGTCTTTAAATTCTACCAATAAAATTAATATCGTATCAACTTATCGTCGGACAACGGATGTATGAAAATCAAGCTTTAGACCTTCTGAAGATATAAAAATATTTACTTTTTTATATTTATTTTTAAAATTTTCACAAATTATACTTCCCAACACTTTTAGAATAATGATATAATAAATTTTTCGTATACTCGCTATTTAAACCCGTGTATTTGTATATACCAGTTGTTTACGATATTCTCCGATGGTGGCAGCACCGGCGGAGTAGAAATTTAATTTATTTCCTATATATCTAGTCTTTTTATTCATATTGATTCTTAAATTTGTGTAGAAATAAAAATATATTTATTTTATTATTGTTTTACATTTTTAGCCTGTATTTTACAACAAAACTTAAAAACGAAAATAAGGATTGGCGCTTAAATGCTCATCACTGTGGTTAATATCTTGGCATTAATTCATTATAGTCACATTTATACTTTTATTATAAATTGTAGTTTTTGAATCTGTATTTCTTAAATTTGGTAAAAAAAACAAATCGCCACAATAGAACATCAGCTATGCAAACAAAAAAAAATTTCTGTTTTTAACAATTTCTTTAAATAAAATTCTAGGTTTTTTTTTCGGTGGTGAACAAGTGAGTTTAATAACCAACTCCAAGATAGAAAAAATTGCACAAGTACTTGAAAGGAGCCGAGGTTTAGTGTCGCTTATAATAGTTAATGTATTCTATACTTTAGATAGATTTAGATCAGGTAACAACTTTGATATAATTACTATTATTACTGTTATCTTATTTAAAGTTAATATAAACATGTATGACTTACTTTGTCAGGCAATAAGACGCAGTGTAGTGTGGCCAGCAACGACCAACCCTGTTTGATTTGAGCCTGTTGTTGCGTGTACATCTCCTCTTGTTCCTCGTCAGTCTTACTCCAGTTAATTCTGGTCGATTGCCTAAAAATTACACAACATTTCAGTAAAGAGGAGTAGATATATTATTTCAAAATCACCTGTGTAGCTTCCTGTTCCTTTCTTGTTCCGGAACAAACGTAGCGTTGCTCATACTCATCAGGGTATGGCTCAGGGCTATCACAGCTAATAAATGATTACTGGTCAGGGTTGTGCTCAGTTCCCAATGAGTCCTAAAACAAACAAAACTTAAAATTGATGAAGTTTATACAAATGGCTACGCAAACCTGCTGGTAAATATTCTGGTGAGTTTTTCCCTTCTGACAAGCTCGGGAGGTAAACTGATCTCTAAATCTTGGTTTTCCGATATAGGATCCTCATCAATAGAGATGGTATTGTGCCAGGTAGGTAAAAACAACGACATATGATTGGCTTTTGATAAAACACCAAATGATAAAGGCACCTAGTATATTTAAAAATAATATTAGGTGGTGCCTATGGAGGCTAGAGGTAAAGAGAATGATTTTATATACGACTTTGCTTAAAAAACAATCACCTAAATACGGACAATAGAGGTTCACCAAATGATCAGAGTTCTAATAAGCAAAATGCTTTATTTTTATTCTCTGAAAGAAATGTTTGTTTTTTTATTGATACTTCCTGTTTAATTATTATGGTGAAGTTGCCCGAGTAGAGGAAAAAAATAATAAACAAATAGAAACAATAATAGCAGGTTAGTCGTGACTGACTAAGTTAAGAAAAAAACTCAAAATTTAAGTGAGGAAACTCAAAATTTAAGTAATGATGATGAGAAAAAAAAATTCTCTTCCATATATTTCAGAACTTACACCAAAGTTGATAAATGTATTTAAGGATTCTAATGTCATTGTAGCAAAGAAACAAGTTAAGACCCCTTGTCTCAGTTATATACAAAACCTAAGTCTCCACTTTTACTGTTAGAAACTAATAATGTAGTATATAGAATTGTATGTGGTAATTGTGAATCCTCGTATATACAAACATCACGTAATTTATCTGGCCGTGTTTCATCTCATAAGAGTGATTGTAAAAGAAACATATGTCCTGTGCCTTAGCTGAACATTGTATTAAAACAGACCATCAAATGAGGTTTTCTGACGTTGCAATTCTTGAGAGGGAATCGAAGTACTATAAGCGGTTGTTCTTAGAACTGTATCTTTTTTTCCAGTTTCTTTGCTTAAAAAACAGTCACCTAAATACGGACAATAGCGGTTCACTAAATGACCATAGTTCTAATAAGCAAAATGCTTTATTTTTATTCTCTGAATGAAAGATTTGTTTTTTTTTATTGAGACTTCCTGTTTTAATTATTATGGTGAAAGTGTGTGTCGTGAGAAGTTGCCCGAGTAGAGGAAAAAATAATAAACAAATAGAAACATATACTGTATCTTTTTTTCCAGTCTACGGTATTCAGTAGTACTATGTATAAATCGGCATAACTTTTGAAAAACGATAAAAGAAGGGCCAGGCTATTGCTTATAAATACATCTTATATATAAATGATTTTTTCATGCATCTTAAAAATATCATAAAATAAATTATAAATTACCATAGGACGTAAGAGGCCTAATTTTCCTTGACAAACTCTATCCAAATCATCATCAAGACCCCACGAGTGCAAAAGAGAAAGAAGCAGTTGTGCTATCTCCATACCATGAGATGTATCCAGTGGTCCTAAGCTCCCCGGTTTATTTTTTTCCTTCCCAAAATCTGAGTTTTCTGAAAATACTAGTGTAAAATACTGCACATTTTTTGCTGTTTAATTTTGATAAACTATGGTAACTAATGATAATCATTGTTTTTTTTCTGACCCAACATATACAACCAAAAAGTAAACAAACTGTATGTCTATATAAAGGTAAAATTGCTATGGAAATTGGGTCTGGAAATTTAATTTCTTCATGAGCCTATATGTTGAAAACTTAATAAATAATTTAAAATTTAGTAAATAGTTTTGAATTTTGAACATATACCTATTTTATTTATCTACCCATACCTCGCTGGAATACACCTTATACTGAAACACAGTCTAAAACATTGTATGCATTTCATAAAAATCCAATTTATAGACTTTTCCACTGTAAAAATAACCATGGCAGAATAGTATTGCGCTATTAACAGGGCTTACACACAACTAACATAGGGCTTATGTTCACAGTTAAAAAAAAGAGCACTGGATATGATCTGCGTTAATAAATTTGTTTATTAAATAAATGACAATTTTTTTCTGTTTATATCTGATTTGTATATCTTGGGTATTTCCGTTTTATACAGTATGCCTATGATTAAAAAAAAATGGCGTCCGGTTGGCTGGAAAATGACGATCGACAACATTTCCCATATAGATTTACATATAAAATGACAGCGATCTTCATTTCATAGCCATCGCTGACGCCGTTTTTTTTCTATCATATGGTATATCTATAAAATTTGTCTAAGAGTTAGACCATTTATAAAGGAATAGTAGTGTTTGATCTTATTCCTAGTATTTTTTACTTAATAGTCAGTATTTAAGAGTCTCATGTTGTATTTTTATTTTTATTCATAATCTTACCTTGATTTAGATGATCAGTTCCTTTCAGTACCAAGTCAGCTTTAGCTTGTATTTTGGTTTGTACTGTTTCGGCACCCTCTTTCATTTTCGCTAATATACCTAACCAGTACATGATGAATTTATAACAAAAACATTCTATTTAGCTTTAGAATTTAAAAATACACAAAAAGCTGGAACTCAAACAAAACAAAACAAAATACAAGCAATAAAACATATAACAGTTTATTATTATAAATAAGGAATAACAAAACAAAAAATTTTAGAAAAAATACACAGTTTTTTACCATGTTTGTCTTTTTCTTTAATGATACGTTCCATGTTTTCAGCTTTGTCCTTGACTTTACCAAAAAAGTCTTGCAAGACATAACATACAATAGGGTTAGCTGAGTTTTTAATGATACAATAAATAACTTCTTTTCTAGTACAAATATAAAAATAATAATATATGTGATTAGAAAAAAATATGTGATTTTCAATAAACTGGTCCTTAGTAATGTTATTCCCGTAAAATGACTATATTAGACACAAAGACTATATTAAGATGGAACATAGACGGCACGATCTATTGTACGGAAAGTCGTACGATACTGCATTAATATAACTAATCGTACTAGAAAAGAAGATACTATATAAACAAACATAGTTTTTGCAGTACCTGCAATCTTTTTGTGTGCATCTGGGCTGGCACTTTGTGTTAGAGCTGCCACTTTCAAATATTCTGCCTGCGAGATCAATCCAGCTGCTTCTAAACTACCAGGAGACATCATGGAATATTCCTCGCTCAATAATTCTATGATTAAGGCTTCTATATCGAAGAAGAGTATATGACTTTCGGGATCTGGAAAAGATAAGTAAAAATTAACAAAAAATAAACCTGAATTAGGATTAAATCAGTCATATTGTTGCGGACCGGTGTGGACTCGAGGACTCGACCTAACCTAACTACTAACTAAGTATATAGCCCGCCCTCGGATGACCTTAACATCGCATTAAAGAATAGACACCGTAATAATTCATTCGAAGATTCGAGAAGAAACGAGTTCCACTGGAATGGAGTAGTACATACGAGAACAATCGAAACCTCTATGCACCTAACGATCTATGGACTATTCTAGAGTTCTTTTAGCTGTAGGTATAAAAGCCGGCGGCTGTGGCCTAGAGAGGGCTGTTATAAATAGACAAGTGCAGTTGACGCGCTAAAATTCAAAATAAATTCTTAGTTATAAATCGTTTGTAAATAGTTCTATAAATCTTTTATCGTTATTGTTTTTGTTAATTAGTGTTAAATAAATAGTGTTTAAATAAATTGTGACTTTCTATCCACACGGAACCGAAGAAAAACGTAACAATTGGTGTCAAGTGTGGCGTGTGTGAGTAGAAAAATAAAAAGACTGAAAATGGCTTCGAAAAAATTGTCGAAAGACTTGAAAGTGTCGGAATTAAAATGCATATTGGAAGAGAGGGAGTGCGAGACAGATGGAAAGAAAAGCATTTTGCAAGCCAGACTGAGAGAGGTTTTGATTGAGGAAGGTGAGGATCCTGACACATTTTGCTTTGAGCTGGAAGGTGACCTTGACTCGTCATTGAATAATTTGCAAGACAATTTAAACGACAATTTGAATAGTAAGATAATTAATTTAGAAGATAAAATTATGGAAAATCCCCAAGATTTGCAAGAAACTTTGAATGATAAAATGACGGAAAATTCCCAAAAATTAGAAGATAAAATCATAGAAAATTCTAAAGATATACAGGCCAGCTTTAATAATAAAATACATAATTTAGAAGAAAGTTTATATAACAAGATAATAGAAAATTCCAGGGAATTAGAAGAAAAGATTATAGAGAATTCCACGGAGCTACAAGACAAAATAGCACATATTGAGGACGATGTTAACAGAAAAATCGAAATTTTAAAAGAAGAAATAGCGAAGTTAAATTCACCAAAATGTCAAGAAACATCGGAGGGACCGAAACTAGTCGAAAATAGGTATGCCTCAAAATCAGTTATGAAACCTCCACAGTTTGACGGAAAAACCGCTTGGGCCAATTATTTTTGCCAGTTTGAGGCCGCTGCGAGAGCGAACGGATGGACAATCGCTGAAAAGGCTACCGCTTTGACTGTCGCACTGCGAGAGATGCGACTGATATCCTGCAGACACTGTCACCATCGGAACAGGGAGATTATCAGCAATTGGTACGACATTTAGAAATGAGGTACGGCCAAGCTCATTTGGAACATGTCTATCATTCACAGCTAAAAAATCGCATTCAAAAGTCAAATGAGTCTCTGCAGGAGTTTGAAGCCGACGTAGCCCGCCTGGTTCGCCTTGCGTATCCTGCTACGCCCGAGAATGTTATGGAGCGGTTGGCAGTACAGACATTCTCCGATGGCTTACGTGACAGGGAGACAAGGCAAGCGCTTCTTCTAGCCCACCCAACGCGCTTGGTGGATGCTTTAGCACGTGCCCTAGAATTTGAGGCCGCGAAACAGTTCTCGGTCTCTAGTGAGAGTACGGGCGGTCAACCAATGTTCCGACAAATCCGTGGAAAGCATTGTACGGAAAGTCATGGAGGAGTACATGGGCAAGAAAGGACCGACTTGTTGCTGGAATTGCGGCCAGGCAGGACACGTAAGAAGTCACTGTCAAGAAAAAGACGTGGACTCGGTTTCGCCAAGTGTCGAATCAAAGGGACACATATGGAGCAGTACCCAACAGGTTCCAACGAAAACTGTTCAAGTCGCATCGCTACAACACAAGTTCAACAGCATTTTTGTGGCTAGTTTCGTGGATGGAGAGTTACGGACCATGCTGTTGGATACGGGTGCGACCAAAACGATCATCAGGCCGGATATCCTTAAAACATCAAAAAGGATTAAAACAACACAATGGCGACTACGTACAGCTACAGGAAGCTGCGCTCTCATCCATGGAGAGGTAGATCTTAATTTTGTTATCGGAAGCACCTGTTTTAATCATCGAGTGTTAGTAGCAGACATCGAAGATGAACTTATTCTCGGAATGGACATCGTGACCACTAGAGGTTTTGAACTAAACCTCAAACAAGAAATTTTGAAAATAAATGAAGAAGAAGTGGTTCTACATCGAAAATGTGAGGAGACGCTTCGCGTGGTAGTAGCAGAAGATGTTTCGATCCCTGAGCGCTGTGAGATATTTTTGGATGGTTGCCTGGAAGGTAAAATGAATAATGGGAGTATTATTCTGTTGGAGCCAAGGAACCATGACAGCGAAATAGGACGAGGGATCGCTGTTGGAAAAGCCCTGCTGCGAGCGAAGAAAACTGTACCGGTGAGAGTAATGAACACGAATTATTATTCTGTATCCTTGAAGAAGGGAACACTGTTGTTCGGTCTCCTCAGTCATTCGAAGCGTGGAAGCACAGAATATCTAGCTACGCAACAGAAGCCTCGTTACATGTATAAAATTGTAGGTATCAAAAGGAGACAGACTTTTAAAGCCTGTCTCCAAATCAGATATTTTGATGCGGTAGTTTCGCTACTACATAATAGAGGGCGATAAATTTAAAAGAAAATAGTTTTCTACAAACGAAATTTAAAAGAATTTTGTGCAGTGTTGCCATTGTGTAATTCACATTGTAAAACTTCCTGATAAAGCCTACCTTCAAATTTGCTACATCATTTAAACATATTGTTAAGGTCAAGGTGTATTACTGGTTGCATAATCGCAACGTGCATTGAGGAACCTGGCGCATTCGCCAGAAAGTAAAGAAAATTATAGAATTCTTTAGAAAAATCTAGAAACAACCGCCAGGGGGTATATAAGGCCCGCGCTTTGACAGTTGGACAAGTTTGAAGTTTGAGGTCTAAAGTTTGAAAATACCGCAAATACCGTTAGAGTAATAGTAGTTGCATAAGTTGTGTTGTAAATAGTATAAGTTGTGTGTACAGAGTGAAACAAATAAATTCGTTAAGTATTTTATCGTGAGTTTAAATAGTGGACCCACGGAATCCGTAACAATTGGTGTCGGAAGTGCGATTCAAGAGGGTTTTAAGAAGAAATTAAGTGGATTGGAAGATTTTTAGACCGAATCAGAGTATTTTTATGGTTGGTACAAGGGAGCAAGCGAAGAAAATGGAGGAAGTAAGCAAATTATTGGGCGATTTTATGGAAAATATGAGAAGAGAGAAGGCAGAAGAACAAGAAAGGCTACGTAAAGAACGAGAAGAAGAGCGAGCCCGATTAGAAAGAGAGAAAGAAGAGGAACAATGCCACCTTTTGAAAATACTTATGGAAAATCAAGAAAAAATCTTAGAAGGTTTAGAAGCGTCAAAAGAAAGAAAACAAGAAGAACAGGACCGCCTTGAGAAAATTCTGGAAGGCTTAGAGGCGCGTCATCAAAAAGAAAGACAAGAGGAACAGGACCGGATCGAGAAAATTTTACAAGGTTTTGAAGTGCGTCGACAAGAAGAAAAACTTGAAGAGCAGGACAGTATCAAGAAAAGTTTCGAAAAAATGGAAAAAAAGCAACAATCAATGTTGGAAGTACGTTGCCAGGAACAACAGAACCACTTCCAAGAAGCTGTAGAAGATCTGGAGGAGCGCCTTCAGCAGAAGATAGAAAGATTGGAGATGGACCTACAGAAGACCAAGGTACAAGTAAAGACACCTGGCGTTCAAGGAACAGCGAACCTCAAGGCCCCGACCTACGATGGACAAACGACATGGACAATGTACCACCGTCAGTTTGAAGCAGCCGCCGCTGCCAACGGATGGACTGACCAGGAGAAAGCAGCGGCACTTGTCATCGCGCTGCGTGGCCCTGCCCTGGAACTGTTGCAAACTATTCCTGCAGCCCAACAGCAGGAATGTCTGGCGACCAACATCGACGCCAACTTTACCAGGCCCAGATCAAGACACGCCTGCAGAGGTCCGGAGAGAGTCTGCAGGAATTTGAAGCAGACTTACGTCGGCTGGTACACCTAGCGTATCCTGAAGCACCGGAAGGATTTAGGGAGGAACTCGCTGCTCAGTGCTTTATCAGCGGACTGAGGGAACAACGAATTACAGAGGGCGCTGCAAATATCCCGATTTTCTACCAGCAGCGAAGCACTGGTCAGGGCGCTGGAAATCGAAGCTGCTTTTAGCGCCATCCCTAGACCGAAGATAAGATCGGTAACGGTAGAGGAACAGCCCGAGAGTACCCACAGAAGTTTGGAGGAGATGTGTAGAAAATTCGACAAACTATGTGAGCTACTAATAAACAAGGGAATCAACAATAACCAGACAGAGAACCAGAGAAGATCCCAGGACATAAGGTGCTATAGATGTGGCAGGAATGGCCACATCAAACGGGATTGCCGCGTTCATGCGATCCCGTTCAGCATCCAGAGAACGTAGGCACCAGGAAAACTAAAATCAGTCAATACTAAGGGGCGAGTATTGACTGGGGAGAACAGAGCCCCCAGGATTTTTTCCATTAGGAGTCTAGGAACAACCGCTGACAGCTTGGTGATCGACGGGAAAGTCAATGGAAAGGGAATTCGAATGACTGTGGATACTGGCGCTATGGTATCGTTGGTGCGGGCTAACTCAGTGCAAGGATTGAAGCTGATGTCTCTGGGAAGAAGAGTGTGTTTACGTACAGTTACGGGGGAAATGGCCGTTGCACGGGGAAAGGCTATCGTCGAACTGAAGTTAGGAAATTTGAAGTTTCAGCATAGCGTCTTAGTGGCAGATATTGAAGATGACTTCATCTTGGGCATGGATATGATTCGTCAACATGGATTTTCGTTCGATCACCAGAGAAATATCTTAAATATTGGATATGAAGAGTTCATGTTATCTCCAGACGAGG